GTGAGGCCACAAATCCTGCCAAGTTTCAAGAAGCTCGGTGCAGGGGTTTGGGAGAAACTGCATCTCAAGATGTGGACAAGCAAAACTTGTGACATGGGTGACACTGTGTGTGTTAAGGCACAGCAGGGTGAAGGCTGCAGGCCTGCTAGCCCCTGCTGCAGCCATGTAGTCTGCCAGCTGTCATGGAGATCAGTGCAGGGCTTCTGGCTTCTGAGGCCCTGTACCTCTAGCTGCTGACAGGCAAAACTCGTGACATGGGTGCTTGTGCAACTGACTGTCTCTGTCTTGAGGCATGGGAGACACTACTGCAGGCCTGGCTGCTAAGCTACTGTGTTACCAGTTACCAATCGATCATGATTCACTTATGGACCAACTCAATACACAGGACCTAGCTAATGTAGCCAGTTAATTACCATCAATTAACACCTACAAAAGCAGAGACTAAGGAGAGGAAATAATCAATACAGACAATCAGCTGCCCCAAGACAAGAGACAGTCAGTTGCACAAGCACACGTCACAAGTTTTGTCAGCAGCTAGGGGGTGCAGGGCCCCAGAACCCCCCTGCACTGATCTCCTCAACAGCTGGCAGGCTTTGTGGCCGCAGCAGGGGCCACCATCCCTGCAGCTTTCATCCTGCTGTGCCTTAACAGTGTCACCCATGTCACAAGTTTTGCTTGTCCGCAGCTTGAGGTGCAGTTCCCCCCAAACCCCTGCACCTATCTTCTTGAAACTTGGCAGGCTTTTTGGCCTCACCAGGAACTACCACTCCTGCAGTTTTGACCCCCCTATGTTGTAACACGTACACGACATGAGTTTTGCTTTCAAGAATTTGGGGTACATATCCCCCCAAACCCCTGGACTGATCTCCTTGAAACTCGGCAGACTTCATGCTCTCAGCAGGGGCTACAATCTCTGCAAGTTTCATCCAAATCAGACAAAACACAGCAAAGTTATAGATATTTAATTGATTCCCCATTATACCCTATGGCCAGATTTCTGAGGCAGCTCCGAAGCTTCAGAGCCACTTTGGCCGGATTGAAGTAGAATCACAGTCCAGAACTCTGGATCAGATCGCTCACATCTGAAGTGGCCAGCTCCAAAGCCAGATTGGATCGCTGCTGACTTGCACAGGCCTAGTGTGTTGTCGTCAAAGCTAACAGCATACTAGGCTGCATTAGTAGGAATATTGCTGGGAAATAGAGGGAAGTTAGTCTACTCCTCTATTCAGCACTGGTGACGCCACATCTGGACTACTGTGTCCATTTTTGCCCCCTCCCCCCCCAGAAAGGATGTGGACAAATTGGAGAGTCCAGTGGGACAACAAAATGGCTAAGGGACTACAGAACATGACTTATGAGAGACCAAGGGAACTAGATTTTTTTGGTATGGAGAAGAGAAGACTATGGAGGGGTTCTATAGCAGCCTTGAACTACCATGGTGACAGATGACAGAACAAGGAGCAATGGTCTCAAGTTGCAGCAAGGGAAGTTTAGGTTGCCTATTAGGAAAAACTTTCCCATGACGAGGGTAGTAAAGCACTGGAACAAGCTACCCAGAGGGGTTCTGGACTCTCCATCCTTGGAGGTTTTTAGGACCTCGGTAGACGAAGCCTTCACTGGGATGATCTAGCTGGGGATGGTCCTGCTTTGAGCAAGGGGTTGGATTAGATGACTTCCTGAGGTCCCTTGCAACCTTAATTTTCTATAGGCACTTTTACATGTCCTTTGGGGGTGGGGGTGCTTTAATTAGAGTTAAGAGCCGCTCTAATTAAAGTTCCACAGCATCTCATGTACCAGCGTCCCTGCACTTCAAAATGGCAGTTTGAACTAAAGCTCATTGTATGAATTTTAGTTCAAGAGCCCCCACCACCACTTTGAAGTGTGGAGACCCTGGTACAGAAGATGCAGACAGTAATTGCCACACTCCACTAGACTCAATTAAATTGAGTCTGCTCCAACAGTGCTTTCCCCCTCCTCATGGTCTGCCCCTCCCTCCCAGTGCCTGCACCCCTTGGCACCTGCTTCTTCTTGCAGTACCTGTATCCCCTGGCATCTGCCCCTCCCCCTTTTGCCCCCCACATCCTCAACCCTGGATCAGAATCAGAGTCTGAGCTGCAAGCAGCTGTTTGTCCTTTTTGCTGGTAGTCAAATGCAAGACAAGGGGCTTTTCCCCCCACATTTTATATGGAGAAAACACCTTATCTGGTATTTCAGTAAATAACAGTATGTTACCTGTTAAAAATATACATTGTTTTTGTACCAACATGTATTAAATGAGTCCCTTCCACTGAATTAGTGAACTATTATCTTGTAGAAAACCAAGATAAGAAACATGTTACTCGAGTATTTCCATAGACACAGCCATATAAACAAACAGAGGATCTGTCTTCAAGTGGATATATTTTCAGAGAAGATGAAGATAACATATTATCACCTGCAGATTTGCCTCATAATTTTAGAAGGATATACAACATGGAGATGTATCAAGTAGAAAACTTCAAAGCTTGAGAAACTGCCACATTAGAGACGAGGCACAAATTCAGGATTGTTAATCAGAAATCCTTGATATACTGTCACAGCCCTTAGACCACATCCCTCTGCAGCCACGGACAAGTCACTTATCTACCTCTCAGTTTCCCACCCGTAGAGTATTGCTTAGTTGCACTGGATAGGAGTCATGAAGCTATTTGTATAATAATGTGAAAATGAAAACTGCTAAGGAAATTCAAAGCATAGTTACCAAATATATAAGCATAAAAGAGCATCCTTTTATTTAAAAGACATTTTGATAGTTTGAAATAAATACAAAAGTTTTTAATCTATGACATTTTATGTCATACTGAAAACAAATAAATTACCATACATAAAATGCATATCACTTTTATCAAAAAGTAGTTTTAATCTTTGAGAATTCTCTCAAAATTTTAGTGTATATACACGTTGTAGACAAATATAAAATTAAGAATAGGCCAGCAAGTTATTCGTTAAAACCTGATTATCCATTTTTTGCAATTTTATTAGTACAGAAAGATTCCTGCTCACCACCATTCAAGAATAAATGTTAAATAATTATATCTTCCTATAGAGCCAAGTAATGTTGTTAGTAATTGTGGTAAGTATAAGTCTGAATTTTTGTTTTTAAATCATGACAGCAGCTAATTAGTATAAATCATATTGAAATCAATCATGAAACATTTTGTTCCAGGCGTTTCTCCTTTAGGACATCTTTTTATGTTTCCAGGCAGCGTTGGAATATTTCCTCCATCATGTTATCAATATATACATAGGGTTTATTTTCTTTCTTGGGTACCAAAGTCCACCTTCCAGATTTTCTATGGTATATTCTACGGTATCTATTATAAAAGAAAGTGAAAATTATTTTTCTTATGAGAAAAAATATTAATCTAATTTTAAAATATCACATATTAAATAACCATAGCAATAAATTTTGCTCCAGCTTCTGAAGACTTAAGTCATACACTGACTTGCAAAAGATCATAGGAAAGTAGGAGTGGAAGGTTCTTCACAGACTCATCTAGTCCAATCCCGTTCAAGGCAAGATCATCCTTGACTAAACCATCCCAGCCAAGCATCTGTATAACCTGCTCTTGAAAATTTCCAGGGATGGAATTTCTGCAACCTCTCTAAGTAGCTCGTTCAGTGCTTGACAAACCTCATAGTCTGAAAGTTCCTCCTAATCTTTAACCTAAATTTCCCCTACTGAAACTTAAGGCCATTGCTTCTAGTCCTGTCCCCTACAGCCACAGAGAAAAGCCCATCTCCACCTTCTTAAAATCATCCTTCAGGTATTTCAAACTAGTTAACAAATATGCCCTTAGTCTTCTCCTTTCCAAACTAAATAACCTTAGTTCTTTCAGCATCTCCTCATAAATCTTGCCCCTCAGGTCTCTAATCATTTTTGTTACTTTGCACTGGACTCCTTCCCACACCACTGCTCTTTGGTGCCTGAACTTGCATAATTAAGGGCTATGACATCAGACCCTACAATCTGCCCAGAAGTAATTAATTCCTTATTCCTTTTGTTCGTTAGGTGAAATCAATGAAGTTATGCTAATTTAAAACTACTGAGGATCTGGTTCAATGTACTTTGTCCTCCTGATACTTGAAATGGGAATGCTACTTATCTACCAAAAAGGGGTGCTCTAAGGCTTACCATGAAAGTAATACACTTATCCAAAATTCTTAATGAAGAGACAGATACCAAACAACACAATAAGATGGAATATACGCACCCAGTCATTTCTCCTGTCACTCATATTGTAAAAACCAATTCATGCATGCACCCAGTCTCAAACAGGTCTACATGCAGCAAATTTTCTAGGATTTCGTAGATCATTCTTTAAGTTGAAACTTAGCAGACCTTCTCTGTGCCAGAAGTTAGTAATTATTGCCAGAATAACAATAGAGGTGGAAAGGGATCCATATAGAGCAGGGGTGGACAAAAAATGGCTCACGGGCCAGATCCAGCACACAGAGAGACTTTGTCCACCCTGCGGCAAGTCCCTCAGTCCCACCTGGCGCAGGTTCCATCTGGCCCATGGGTACACAGTGGGGCTGGGGCAGCTCCAGAGCTAGACTGCCTTTCTAGGCAGCCCGGAGGATGGCAGCTCCTTCTGACTGCCACTGCTGGCTCCAACCCTGTGGTCTTGCAGGAACCCACGCGCACAGCCCCAACTCCAGCCCACCCTACATCTGCTCCCGACTCTCTCACCTACACTGAGCAGCGGCAGCAGCAACGGCAGCTGGCCAGAAACCGCTGCTCGGCCTGGGGGAAAAGCAGCCCCTGCCTTTTGCTGTTGCTGGGCCCTTCTTACTGCAGCCACCCAGAGCCTGCACCTAGGCTGCCCTATGGCTCCTCTGCACTGCCACTGCTGTCCTGCTGGGCGGTCTGCAGGTGGTGGTTACTGTGGCAGAGGGGCGCTGAAGTGCAACCCAGGCGCGGGCTCTGGGCAGCTGCAGCAAGAGGGACCCAACAGTGGCAAAGGGGAGGGGTTGCTTTTCTCTTGCATTGAGCAGCAGCTTCTTCCCAGCTGCTGCTCGATGTAGGTGGGTGAGCCAGAGCAGGTACAGGCAGGCTGGGGTCCGGCCTGTGTGCAGCTGGTCTGCTCTGGCCCCAGGTGTGGAGCAAGCCAGAGTCAGGACTGGACGCTGTTGGCAGTGGCAGGGAGAAGCTGCAGGGTGCAGTCTCTGGGCTGTTTTTAAGGGAAGGGTGCTGACTGGCCTGCACCAGCTCCCCAGAACTGTCTATATGGCCCATGGGTCCAAGTAATTGCCCATCCCTGATACACAGCATTAAATGGACTTAGAAAACCCTATGTGAGATGGAAAAGTAATGGATACCAACATGGTTTTTTCCGTGGCTTTCCTTCATGACTGCAACTAGGATCATTCTAGCTGCTGGAGATTGGGAATTGGGCTAGGGCATGTGTTTTCTGACCACATTTGAGTTCAGAAATATCTGTAACCTTGTGCGCTTTTCCACAGAGATTACGAAGAAACCTGAACTTTGTATTTAACCTAAGAAAGAGTGCTAAATTTTCCACTGGCAAAACTATATTGAGAATGTGTCCAATAATATACATAATAACACAGGCAGAGATAATTGTGTGTGCACTTATTTTTCAGAAAGTCACAGTTAATTTGTTGTAATGTATGAACTAAGAAAAGGAAAAGAAACTATAATAGACTTACATTAACTGATTTTGTGAGTTGTGCATGGTTTGCCGGTTCAAATGCATATTGTAATCAATTGCTGCCAAAAAACATCTTGCTCTGTAGACAGGGTATGTGTATTCATATCTTTTGGTAGCATACATATGCACATGTTGCTGAAACTGCTCCAGATCAAAGATGGATCTTTATGAAAATAATATATATGTTTTCAGAAGCACTTTAATATATTAATATCAGGAAAACAATTATTATATAACTATACATAAATATTCAGAAAAACTTAGGAATTACTCTTTTTTTTTTTCTTTTTAAAGTAAGCAATGCTTTTTTACCTTTATTTTTATTTGCAATTATAACACTTAGAATTAATTTAGCTTTTACTTGGTTACATGGTATAATACTACTAAATAATAGTTTGAACAATTTAGCGTATAAGCAAAATTACATTTTTGGCATACAGTTTCCGTTTAACTTTAGCAGGGAGGGAAGAGAATAATTTGGAGGGAACAGACAACCTATCATCCACAATTCAAGTTCATTATACCTAAACTGTAGAAAGTATGGGATGTTTCTCAGAAACTTTTTATCCAAAATTATTCTGCACATTTCAGTGTGAGGTTTGCTTCCCTTTTCTAGCCATTCCTTTTCTCTTTCATCCATTTGAGGACCATGTTTGCACCGTCCCTCAATGATGCCGTTTCCACTAGCCCACTGATGTTCATTGACCACATGGTGAACTAAGCCACACCACATTCCCTACAATGTTAAGAAACCATGATAATAAATATAATTTATTGCAGTAAAATACTGTACTGGAATATTACAATTCAACTCTAAAATTACAACTTACTATAAATTTTTCATATGAACTAGCTTCCTTGCAGCAAAACCAGAAATAATTGACAATATCTGAGCACCAGTGTAAAAGATGTCGACAATCTTTCTGTCTGCTAGCCTGAAAAATAAAAACATATATAATTATTAAAAACAAAATGACATCCCTATGTGCACACACTTTCTTGTGTTAAAAATACTGGATTTAAAAATTTGAAGGCTGAAATCCTATTCTTCTAATGGAAAGATAGATGGCAAGTTTTTAGGAGGCTGGGTTGATGTGTCAAATCTATACAATACCTACCAATCTTTTTGTCCATTACATCATATAAACAATCATAATAATAGTATAGCACATATGACAACAATTAAAGCTCCCTCATGTCACTGAAGGCAACTAACAAAAAAATTCTCAAGAGAAGGAGAGTTTAGCCTACGCCCCATGCAAACTGTCAAGCTGGAGGCCAGTTAGTAATAGTTGTAGTGTTTTATGCTAGAAACACTGAGAAGCAAATCTTTATCAGGTATAAACTTTTCATACTTTATTTCATAGAAATTAACCATGATCATCCTCTGTCTGGCCACACAGTCATTAGTGATCATATTTTACACCACTGCTGACTAGGGCTTACTTTGAACCTGTTATAAAATCTGCATCCTATTAATACTGTACTACAAATGCAAAATGATCAACTATACCACTGTAAGAAACTACAAAAATATGCAATTATTCTATACTTATCTGAGGACTATTACCTCAATTAATTTGTTTCCAAGGTTTTTGGCACCACCCCATATATCATATGAATGGATGACATAAGGAAATTTCTTTTCTGTCAATATAGATATATGAATTATATTAGTTACTTTTACACAGGGGTTATTAATAAACTGAAGAGCAACAAAACAAACGCATCTGTTTTTCCCTGCTAAATTTAAATTATAGTACGTTAGCAGAGCATATAAAATATAACCTATTTAAGACTCAACAATTGCTACAGAAATTTACACATGTAAATAACACAATATTTGCCATAGAAGCAAGCTAAATACCAATGCCACTCTTTTGTACTTTCCCCAACGTAATAAAAGTACACAGTTTTTAAAAAGTAGATTTTATAAAGGTGATTTAAACAAAAGAAAAGTACTGTTTCAGTACTTTTTACACCAAAAGGAAAACTCAGTTCTATAAAGAAGAATTACTGTGAACCAATGTCATGGTTATACGTAACAACTCTTCTAACTTACAAGCAACGTCAGTAGCCCTACTGTGAATATTCAAAATATTCTTGTGGCACCTTGTGGAAGTTACATTTTGGTATTTCAAGTCTGCATTCTGTTCTATGAGTCAGCCTCCTTAACCAGACTAATTCCTAAGGTACACCACCTTCCTTCTGCAAGTAGGGAAACTGATGCATCATGAGATGGCTACCTGGTTGCAATACCAGTCTACAGAGGAAAATGAGAACTTGAAACACCTAATGATAACTCCTATGGGGCAAAGCAGCAGCATTTTCAAATTGAAATAATTCCATTTTCCACACAGAATCCACCCATTTTCAAATAAGCTCTAGCAAAAATTATTTTAGAAACCTGAAAATTAAATGTCATTACCTCCTACTTCCACCCTTTTGTATCTGAGGTGCATGTCCCAAGTGTGGAGGCTGATTTCTGTACCAGAATGGAAGCATGGAGATGCTGGAATGGCTGCCAGGGTCTGTGCTTCTCTCCCTGCAACCATGCACCATGAGTAGAGTCCACACTTTAGCATCAGAGCTACAGTTTCAACCCTCTCCACCACTGCTGAATTAGCCATAGCTTTTAGCTAAGCAGCCAAAATCTGATACCAATTTGTCAACAATAGTGAGAAGATTAAAACTCTAGCTTTTGGTACAGCAGCCAGGGTGTGGCAAGCGATGCTGAAGAGTGGACTCTGTCTCTACTTCGTGTGGTCAGCATTCAGCCATGACAATAGTAAAATATTTTTCTTCCTTCTACCATCCCAAAACAACGTGTCCGTATTATTGGGGGCACATGGTATGAGAGAAAACATAGTATTTCAAGATCACTTTGTGCATAGTATTAAAGCTAGAAGCTGACAATGTTACTTTCACAGTCAATTACTTATTTTTGAAAAGGGATGCAGGACCCAGGCCCTTGGGGCAAACTCTTAAATCTCTTGATCTTCAAGTAGTAGGCTGCTGGAAAGCCTGTAATTGACACCCAAGAGCAGCATCACACACACACGTTATGTAACAAGCCCCTCCTCCCCCAAAGACACCTGTATAATGTATTTTTCTCACTTCCCCAATCCCAACAAAATCTAAAAGGCCAGCAGATATAATTTTTTTAAATTATTTTCAGCTCAGTCAAATACGGACTAGTTTAAACCATCTAACAGCGCACTGTACATAGCTCACGTAAGTTTGTAAAATCTTAGTAAAAAGTTAAGAATGGATAAACAGAACAATTACTTATCAGAGCTGAAATCTGAGCATGTGCTTCAGTAACCACTTCTTTGACCATTAGCTGTTCATCCAACAACTTTTGTAATGCTCTCCGGAAGGCCTCCTTCTCCATAAAAGGGGAATTCAGTTGTGTTTTACGTTTATCCACAATTTCAACACCTAATATTTGTTTGGTTTCTAAGTCCATGAATGAATATATGCAATACTGTGCAGAGTGGCCAGGTCCATCCATGTGTCCATCTCCTGCACATTGAGAATTAGAAAGAAGTTTTATTTTAAGTAATGAATAAAATCAAGGTTACTTTTTTTAACAAGTGTAATAATATTTGAAAGCCAAAGATAAAACTTGAATAAGGTTTAATTAAGTTTTGAAAGGCTTTATTTACCCATAATGACCACCTCCTTCCCATGTAGTTCCTCCAAAATGTGTTGCTTCATACGACACCAGAAGGATTCTATTGTTGGAACAATAAAATGGCGTTGCAGTCCGAAGAACGTATTTGCACTTGTGAATGTCAACTTCATAAAGTTTGCCATTTGTGAAATTTTTCCAAAATTGTTTCCTGATAGTATGACTGCAGAAGATAATGCAAGGTCTCCTGCATATATCTGTCCTTTTATCAAAGGTTGGGAAGACCATTCAAATGCTACATGTCCTGCACTACATTTCTAAATATATTTGAGGTTAAGCAAAAACAAAGAGGGGAAAAAAAGATGGTGAGGCCATACGATGTACTGTTTTGATATTAACAAGCAATACAATTTTAGAACTATCTGGAAAGTTTTAAAGTGCACTTTCAATTAAAATGGTTGGTCACTTTCATTTTCAGATTCATGTGTTTAGGAAAGCCAGGCACTACAACACAATAGTATTTTTTTTAACTGTGGAAATTTCTATCAGCCTGGTTTTTTTAAAGTTTAATTTGACAATATATACATTTGGGGTCCAATTCAAGATACTTGCGTCCACTTGATAATACATTCTATAATAAATATACATACAGAAAAGTACACTTGTTAAAACAAAAAAAGCCTATGTCCTGTAAACCTTTACTCATGAAAGCAGTCATTGTGCAAATAATAGGATTACTTACATGAGTAACTGAAAAAACTTGTCATAAAAGTTAGCTATGCAAACTCAAAGCCAAACTATAGTAAAAAGAACAACCATGTAATCTGGTCTATATGGGTGGACTTTTGCAGAACTCTGCTGACCTCAATGGGATTATATGCAGGTACTTGTATGGAGTCACATTTAAGTCACTGTCATTCCACAAGGGCCTACTCTGGCAGATCTGAGCAGGTCCTTAAAAAATTAAAATGATAAATTATTGTGAAACAGTCACAGTATAATAGACAGAGATTAACAAGGTATATTACTCACCCATATCAAATGCACACAGGAAGAAACAGGCTGTATAGAAACATCAACTTCACCAGCACAAAACAAACATTTTGGCATAACAATCTTTTTTGCTAGTTGAAGAAGGCAGTGATCATATACAATGTGCATTTTTTCATGAGAAATATCCTGGGCGTCATCCAGAGTCATATCATGACTTGTTTCCTCAAAGCTTTCTATAAAGTCATCTTGTGGCCCAGCATCACATTCATCTGTGATGCCTAATATATCCTCTGCTAGAGACACATTTTTCAAATGTTTAACTGAAGAAAAACTAAATGAATAAAGACAAATAGAGTGTGCATAAATATAACAC